GAGAGAGAGAGGGAGAGAGAGAGGAGTGGGTTGGATGTAAAATAATTTGTTGTTGATGAGGAGGAAAGATGAAATGAAGGAGAGAAGGATGAGAACAGAGAGATAGAACCTGACGCTCCTCACAGGTTGAATAAAGAACAAGGAGGAGAATCGATCTGTGTGTGTGTGTGTGTGTGTGTGTGTGTGTGTGTGTGTGTGTGTGTGTGTGTGTGTGTGTGTCAGGAGGGGATGGACAGAGTGATGAAGACGGACAGAAGGAAATCAACGTCCAGCAGAAAGACAAACATGGAGACATGAAGTGAAGAAGAAGAGCAGATCAACATCAGAACCTCAAAGTTCCTGAGACTTTTGAAAAAACCTTCCAATGACGCAGATTTTAAAATCTACGTTCACTCAGAAGTGTTTTTTGCGTCCGGATGTTAAACGCAGAGGAAAGTATGAGTCACCATCAGACACTCGTCTTAACGGTGGAGACTCCAAACGCACGTTTCATTCAGCTGCTGTGCAAAACAAACATTCAGACAAAAACTGGAGACGAATAAAAACTACACACAACTAAAACTAAAGTTTTTAAAAACTTTGTGTAGAGACCTTTTGTCCTCTGAATAACTGAAGTGGGACAGAGCAGCTGGACGTCCTCGTCGGATCGGAGACGTTTGTCCCTGAAATGAAAAGTTCAGCTGCAGACAGACGTCACCGCATCGCTCTCGGTCCCACGGCTCGAGAGGAACTTGCAAAACTTTATAATGAGTGTTTGGGCGAGTTGTCTGGAATCACAGAGGTGGAATAAAGGTCGAGCAAAATCAAACTGGACCAGAGAATTTCGGCTGCGGCTCTGTTTGCTCTTCAAACCTCAGGACCTCAGCTCGTCTGCAGCAGGGACGACCTGAGAGGACGTCGAGGAAGAGAAGTGAAGACACCTGCAGCAGAGTTTCACTCTCTCACGGATCAGAAGCTCCTGTCGTCTGAATGGAAAACTTCTGATTCTGCAGAGCTCCAATAAAAAAGAGTTAAACGCTCAAAAGTACTTTATATTTTATATCTTCTATTTGTAAAACGTGTGAATCTGACGCTTGACCGTCAACAATGTTCCATCTGAAAGCAGAGTTACCGCCCTGTGGTTATGATCCCACGTCACCAGTGAAACTTCAGTTTGTACATTTATCCAGACTCATGAAGTCACCGTGACCTTTGACCTCTGAAAGGACGGTCGGTTCAAGAGGTCAGACACGTTACTGGTGAGTCCGCTGTGACCTTTGACCATCAAACTCTCATCAGTTCATCTGTGAGTCCGAACGAACCTTCGTACGAAGTTTGAAGAAATGACCCGGAGATGAAAACGAGACATTATTTACAATAGTGATATAAATTCTGTTACTATCAGTTCTACATGAACCCTTTAATAAATAAATACTAATAATACTAATACAGAGGAAAGGAACAGATAGTCGTCTGGGACCAGGCAAGCTTTATTGGTATGAAACTTAACGAACACACGGCTGCAGATCAAAACATCACGAGGTGATGAAATCAAACACGTATCCAGTGAAACCGGACGTAAACTTTAAAACGTTCTCTACTTGTGACAGCGTGAACAGATATTTACACCCGGGTCGGTCTGAAGAAACGTGTGCGATTAAAAAAACACGACATCAGAGCTCAGCGTCTCTGCCGCGACGCCCGTGCTTCCGACGTCGTCGGCTACGTGAATGTTTCTGTGCACGTGTGAGCTCACGACTCAGAGCTCGGCTGCTAAATGATTTTCTATTTCATTCTCACAGAGCGGAGATTCATAAAAGATGCTAACATCGCAGTGGCTTTGCTACACAGATTTCCCCCCCCCCCGCGGGACTAAAAACGGCTACAAACAGCGCCCTCTGCTGGGTACGATCAATAATATGCTTATAAAACAAGAGCAAGTTCGTCTCTGTGCAACATCAGAACTTCAGTGGGAGTCAAACTGAAAAACATTCTGCAGACATAAAAAATATATAATTCATGTTAATTCTAATTTAACATTTGTACTTTAGTCTATTTGAGACACAACCTGTGTCTCTATTCAGGGGACGACTCCTCTGGGGGACGCGGTGATCGGCTGGAACTTGTCCCCTGAATCGCTGTCGCCTTTCAACAGAGCTGACGGCGAGAACGTTCTAACGTTTTGTGTAACATTAGCTGTTCTGTTGAGGCCGGACGCTCAAGCATCGGACGTCTTGTCGCTAGCTGGGACCATTTGAAGGAAACTTTGAAAACGGGACAGCGGTGTAAAACGCAGCCTACGAAGGACGCAGCAACTGAGACACAGAGACAGACGGTTAATAAAGACGGACGACGTGGCGGCCAGTAAAGGTGAAGCCGAATCATCAGGACTGGTGTCTTGCTGCAGACCTCCTCCATGTTAGTTAGAAACCTAATAATGATTTATCGGCACAGACTCTGACTCCGGATGACGCCAAACGTCCAAGAAGGCGTGTGGAGACACGTCGTCCGTCTTTGGGACGACATCTTCTGGGTGTGTCTGAGGAAACGTCTGTTAAATTTAAAACCAGACGCAGTCACTGATTGTTTACACAATTTGTTGTGACGGTTTTGGAGCTCTGACAAATCTGGAGCTTCGTTATGACAAAAACACATTTTTAAGATTTTTCCTCTTTTCTAATATTTGAAAGAAAATAAAGAAAAGGTCAAATCTGGTTGTAGTGAGAGGAGACGAAGCTACGTCACATTAATAATAGATTAAAACAGGCTGCACATTGGAATTCAAGACCATCTGTTGCTCAGGTTTTCAGTTTGCTCCCCACGGAGGCTCATGTTTATCAAAGTAAAACGTCTTCACCTCCGACAAACATCCACGATACACACTTTCCATCGCTTATTTGAAACCAGGAACAGTTCCACTTCATTTCAGTGTCACGTCCAGGAAGCACGACAACAAGCGACAAACGTCACTTCAGGAAACCGAAGCTTCATCTGTCAGGAATCACGTCGAGATGAGAAGAGAAACATTTCCACCGACGTACTTTCGTTTCCTGAATTAAATGGATTCAAACACAATCTGAACCCGGCTGTCGGACGTCCGCTCCCCCGACGTCCGCTCGCATTGTTACCATCATATATACACACCTCCCGTCTCCATGGCAACAGCACCAACCGTCCAAGGCACCCGTTTGGATTGTGCCACCGGCGCCGACGGTCTTTTTGTCCCGTCTCCACCTGCGCTCGATGCTTTTTTCTTTTCAAAAAATAAGAAAAAGTCTCTCGGCCACGTCCTCGTTGCACAAAACATTTGTCCCGAAGCTTCGCTCTCGAAATACAAACAGCTTTAGAAAAGTCCTGACCTAAAACACCTAAAACATACGGAAATATTTACACTCCGCGACGGACGGGAGCGAGTTTTCATTAACTTGGAATTCAGCAAGAACGTAGGACAGAGAAGAAGAAGAATTTCTGTACAGTTGGAGTATAAATCTCTATTTGCGGTTTATCTGCGGCTGTGGACGTAAGAGTTGTGGCTGAAGGTCGCGGTACAAAGACAAACGTTGTGAGCAATATACGAATATAATATATAATCAAGATATTATATATATATATATATATCGATCACAGTTGTATTTGTAATGTTCACTTTGAAACATTTCCATGGACAAGTTTGGGACGTGAAGCAAAAACAAGTTCTAAAAATAAAACAGTTTCTTTCCTGGAGAATATTCTTTGTACACACAAAATGTATAAATGAAAAAAAATGAATTTACAATTAAAACTATTGTTTTTAAATTTCTAAATATTTGCTGTTCCTTTACTTTCGGTTGTGAGACAGATAATTTTGACGAAGCTGTAAAGTAACTGAACACGAATCCTTCTGACACACACAATATATATTACACATACATTATCGAGTACATATATTATATATGTACTCGATAATGTGTTATCGCACTGTGAAACTAATGTTGTTAAGATTTAAAGTACAATTTAATTGAGATTGTACTGTGGGACGACAGATAGAATATCGTTTGCAGTATTTGATTTGTTGTCGGACTTGAACGAGAGTTTTCTTTAGATGAATTATTTAGTTTTTACATTTATTTATAAAGTTACTGAGTTTTCATGCGGTAAACGTCCCGACCGTGTCCATGGAAAATCAAACGCATCGTAAATGTTTTCTCCTCCAGGAGATGAAGTATCTTCAGCGCTCGGTTGGTTCGTCTGTGTATCACGACCCTGATGATCGAAGTACTCGTCAGAAAAACTACAAAAGCCTCGTCGCTGCTACTTACTCCGTCCCCCCCTCCTCCCACGGTCCCTCCCTCCTCCCACGGTCCCTCCCTCCTCCCATGGTCCCTCCCAGAGCGTTAAAGTTTTGTTTAATGTCCGTCTCCATCTCGGTGAGTCACACCTCCGCCCACCTGACGCTCCTCCCCTCTCTCCTCCTCTCCCGCTCCTTCATGCACTTACCCTCCTCCCACACTATGAGGGAACACGATGTGTGTGTGTGTGTGTGTGTGTTGTATTGTGATGTTTGATATAGCCCCCCCCCCCCCCTTTTGTGTTGTCCCTCCCCTGCGTACGTAGCCTAGCACGGCGAGGCGCTCATTCGCATGTGCGTGTGATAGCGGGGGGGAGGCACGGCTGAGGGTGGCGCCGCCATGGGAAGGGACTGGGGTGGGGGCCCGCTCGGGTGGGGGTGAGGGTGACCGTGGGCGTGGGAGGACCTGGGTAAGGTGGAGGCCGGGTGAAGGGGGTGTGGATAGGAGGAGGAGGTGGAGGAGGAGGAGGCCGGCTGGAGCTGGTAGCTGGCCGCCGATGAAGGCCCGGAGGAGGAGGGCGTCGGATGGGAGCTGCTGCCGCCCTTGGGAGGCGCCTGCGAGGGCGGGGTCTGGTTGAGCTGGATGGAGATGTCGGAGGAGACGTCGGAGGCGCTGCGACCGCGCTGCGGCGGAGGCCAGGAGTCTGGGTGGAGGAACTGGCCACTGTAGTCGCTGCAGTCCGACATGCGGGGGCGGTAGAGGGCGGGGTGAGGCCTGTATAGCTCCTCCTCAGCGTAACGCTTCATGAAGAGGTAGACGGACATGACTCCTGCACCCTGGACACGCAAACACACAAACACACAAACACACAAACACACAAACACACGACGGCATCATGTTTCTCTGTTATGTTTCTCGTGTGTTAAATCAAATTGATGTTATTTTCATTCGTTCATTTTATTTCTAGTTTTAAAACCTGTTGAGATCTTTTTTAAAGTTGTTCTTCTTACTCTCTTCTATGATTTGCTAACTTCATAAGCAGCGATGTTATATTTTGTGAAACATCTTGTGGTTCTGAAAGTTGTTTCGGGAATAAAGTCTTTAATTATCATTACATTATTAATATTATTTAGTAGATGGTTAAAGTGTAAAACATCAAGCCTCAGTGGTTTTATAACGACATCTTGGGATTGACAAGTTATTTTAAATATACATATCAGCGGATATATCAGTATTTATATTTTTACTCCCTAATATCAGTATGAACATCGGTCATTAAGTCGCAGATTGATGTGTTCTAATTAGATTCTCAGATTTGAACTGATAATAGTCTTGTTTATTTTATAGTTTTACTATGTAAGTGGTTCTTTAACAACAGGAAATAAAACAATAACTGCATTTAGTCGCGTGACATTAAAAAGACAAAAAAACCCTCCGGATCCAAAAGAGTTTAATAAATATTTTAATAAGTCCATAAACTTTTCTAAAGCAGCGGAGGAGGTTTGCACTCGCTCCTGTTCTCCCTCGGTTTTATTACTCAGTTTATGAATTAAATGGTGTTTGGCTGTTTTCCTCTGGAGTTTTATTTCCCTCTCGTCTCATGTTGTTATGTACTTTCGTATATTGAATGTATATAAAGCAGCAGCAGGGGTGGAGGATGGAGACGAGTCGCCCACAGGGGCCATTAGGTTCTTAAACTGTGTAGAATATAAAAGTGCGTATAAAGTGATATTATTAACAGTCCTGGTCGTAAACAGCTCCGGTTAAAGTTTCTGACAGAATCCAATAAATAAATGGCTGCTGAGGGTGAGAGAGAGAGGGAGAGAGAGGGAGAGAGGGGGAGAGAGCGAGAGAGAGAGATTTCATGCATGTAAACTAAACATCGGTTTAATCACACGAATCCAAATGAGCTAGAAAAGCTTTTATGAAACAACAGAGTCAGCTCGATCCTTCACCGTGAAGTGTGTCTGTGTGTGTGTGTGTCTGTGTGTGTGTGTGTGTGTCTGAATGTGTGTGTGTGTCTGAATGTGTGTGTGTGTGTTCGAATAAATTCACAATCATTTTGCAGAGTTGACAAAAAGGCTCGGTGCTCCTCAGGGGAACGAACAAATATCAAAAATGTATTCATGCTTTCACCCCCGTATCTGCAGAGCGTTCACAGCTCATTCACTATTCATGCAAAACATCATCGCTACAACAGCCCTGAAAGTTGAGACTGTGTGTGTGTGTGTGTGTGTGTGAGAGAGAGAGAGAGAGGGAGAGAGAGAGAGAGGGAGAGAGAGAGAGAGAGAGAGAGGGAGAGAGAGAGAGAGTCGGAGGAACGTTTGAATCATAATGTTCTTAATCAAATGTTTTACAGCTATAATGCAGATAAGAAGAAGAAAAGGAGAGGGGGAGGAAAGACAGATGAGAAGAGGATGAGAAAACAGAGGGAGGGAGACGAGAAGAGAACAGATGATTAGAAAGGGAAAGATAAAAGATGAGAAGATAGAAAGTACAGAGGAATAAAAAGAGGGAAGACAATGAAGGAAAGAAAATTTCAGATTAGAGGAGAAAGAAAAACAGAGAACAGAGACGGTGGGCTAAAAAAATGAAAGACAAGAGATGAGGGGGAGAGAAGAAAGAAGTAGATTTGAGTGAGATAGAGGAGAGGAGAGAAGAGGAAGATGAGGAAGAGGAGATAAGGTGAAAGGACAGAGGGGAAGAGACAACAGACAATTAACGAACTGAAGATAAAAGACGAAAGAAGAGGAGACAAGTAGAGGACAGAGAGAGAGAGAGAGAGAGAGAGAGA